ATCTTTGAAAGCACTGAGGTTGGGAAACTTGGTGACACAGAGGCTACGAGGTGGTCGAGGTCATCGGCGTCACATTCTGTAGTGCTCAGTGGCATGCGCGAAAGGCAATCTGTGTCGGCGTGTCGTCGACCGCTTTTCGGCGTGTCATCGAGACTGTGAAGCTATACTCTTGGAGCCGAAGTGCCCGGCGCACTCGACGGCCGCAAGGGTCCCGAAGGTTGGCGAGCCAACACAATGAGTGGTGGTGAGTGATGACTGTAAATGGGCGTTCATATAGGTAAGACCGAAACCGCTGAATCGCATATATTACCGCGAGGCATTCTTGTTCTGTGATAGTGTAATTCTGCTCAGGCCTACTCAAGGAATGACTTGCGTATGCGATCACGTGCTCGCGGTTACTGTAGCGTTGAACTAGAACAGCACCAATTCCTATGCCGCTGGCATCCGTGTGCAGTTCTGTTGGAGCTGATGGGTTGAAGTGTTGAAGAACAGGCCACGGTGCCAGGAGGAACTTAAGTTGACGAAAAGAGGAGTCCCACTTCGTAGTCTACTCGAAGGGAATATTCTTCCATAGTAAACATGTCAGCGGATACGCGACATCGGCAAATTTAGGCATAAATCAGCGAAAATAGGAGCAAAGTTCAAGAAAACTACGGAGCTTCTTAACAGAGTGCGGCGCACTGAATGCTTCAACGACTGCTGTCTTCTGGGGATCTGGACGGATGCCATCCTGATCGATGAGGTGTCCGAGAACAAGGGTTTGTCGGTTTTCGAAATGGCATTTCTTTGAGTTAAGAACAAAACCAGCGTTTCTTATGCAAGTCATACAGTATCCAGACGTGAATTGTGTTCGCTGAAGGTGCGGCCAAAGATGACGACGCTGTCGAGATAGCATATGCAAATGCTCCAATTCAAGCCATGAAGAACAGTGTCTATAAATTGCTCGAACGTAGCCGGCGCGTTGCACAGTCCAAATGGCATCACGTTGAATTCGAAAAGAGCGTTGGGGGTTACAAAGGCTGTCTTTTCTTTATATTCAGGATGCATGGGAATTTGCCAGTAGCCCGATCTTAAGTCTACAGAGGAAAATTAAGAGGCCGAATATAGACATTCGATGGCATCATCAATACCTGGAAGTGGGTACACGTCTTTTTTCGTTATAGTATCCAATTGGCGATAATTGATGCAAAATCTCCAGATGGCATCATCAATACGTGGAAGTGAGTACACGTCTTTTTTTGTTATAGTATCCAATTGGCGATAATCGATGCAAAATCTCCAGATTTCGTCTTTCTTTTTAATGACAATCACAGGAGCCGCCCATGGACTTGCCGACTCTTGAATGACTCCGTTTTGAATCATTTCGTTCACCTCTTCGTTAATAATCCGCTGCTCAGATTGTGAAACGTGGTATGGCTTTTGTCTAATCGGATTGGCCAAACCAGTGTTGATGGTGTGACATGTCCAAGAAGCAGGGATTAAGGGTGCTTTGTCTTTCTGCACAAAGTCAAATGCAGAGACGTGCTTTGAAAGTACATTCACCAATGTTTGGCATTCACTTGTGCTTAGCGACTTATTCACCATTGACAGAAGAGCCGTTTCCGAGCTGAAACTACGATGCTCTTCCGGCGCATCTCTAAGCTTTGTCACCAATAAGGCCTCGTGTTGTCCACTGACGACGGCTAACTTTAGACCATCTGGTAGCATCACGGGCTCTGTGCAGCAATTGACAGTCCATAAGCCAGTGCATCCACATCTGATCGACACCACACAGTGTGGGATCAACACATTCTTTTTCATGCAGTTGGTGTACGCTGGTTCTACGTTGGCATCAATGTTTGCAGAATCGCTGTCGCTGCAACCAACAAGTACACGAACGGTTGATGACGGTGGTATGATTATGTCGCCACAGACACACAATGCCGTCTCACCATCCACAGGGTTTTCCAAGAGTGCTGGCGGAACGTGATCACTCGAGAATATCGTCCCTGTGCGGCAGTCGACAGTCGCACCACACTCTCTCAAAAAGTTCATACCCAAAATAACATCATGTGTCGCGTGCGGAATAATCACGAACTCAGTTTGGATAACGTGGCCTCCGAGAGACATTTCAGCTCGACACACACCAACAGCATGCAATGGCTCATCACTCACTCCGCAAAACTTCACTGCTTGATTCCACCTAAATAAAACCTTCCATCCCAACGTATCGTTAAAACACGCACTCATGACAGAAATTATTGCCCCCGTGTCCACCAAAGCCATCACAGGCACATCGTCAACAAAAACACGCACTTTGTTCTTGAGCATCAACACGAGAAGTATTTGTGATGTTAGCGCATCTCCGGGGACCTCACCTCCATCGGCCACGCTTGCTAGTTTTCCTGTGGCAAAGGAGACGTGTTGCGATGTCGCGGTGAGAGTGAACGGGGGGAACACGAGGCGATGGAGGCGTCAAGCTCCTGTCAGATGTATGGGAGTGATTCCGGAGGCTGCTTGTCCAGTAGTCGTCGCGAGGCAGCAGGTGCGTTGCCCTCGGGTCGTCGTGCAGTCGATCAGACGATCGTGTGAAGTGTAGGGGTGGGCCATAGTACGTTGCTCGCGGGTTGTCGCAAAATCGTTCAGAACGTCGTGCAAAGTGTGGTGGGTGGCCATACCGTGGGGCTACACGTCGACGGTTGCAACATCGCGAAATATATCCTAGGACACTGCAGGAGTAGCAAACTGTAAGAGGTCGAAACACTGTTCATCGATGAATTGAACATCATCTTGCCTGGCGTAGTGGGTTGGTTCGTCCCGTATATCATAGGGATAGACCGGGCGTCGCGAAGAAGGTGGACGCTGAGGGCGCCGGTCATAACAAGGAGCTGGCAAGCATGGTGTTCTCCTTGGCTGTGGGCGTGCACTGTACTCAACAGCTGCTGCACTAACCATTGATTGCCAAGGGGTCATAGAAGGCGGTAGCGCAGTCACAGCCTCACGTGGCGCATATACCGAATGTTGGTCGTAGGCAGAATGGTGATCGACTGCTGAATGCGTCCGCCCTCCATACCGGAAAAGTTCTTAGCGAGCAATCTGTCGAATCGTCAAAGACAGATCTCGGCAGGAGCTCGTGTCAGTGCTGGCAACCATTGTAACATTTGTGAGCCGGTCGAACTTAGGAGCAATCCTGTGCATTTTGAGCTGTTCGAAAGTTTGGCAATGCTGAATGACGTCGGACACCGAGCTCAGGTGCTCTTCTCCAATGAAAAAATTATAGACATCCTCGGCTATGCCTTTCAGCAAATGTCCCACTTTGTCTTCTTCTGACATCTGAGCGTCAACCACTTTGCAGAGCTTCAGCACATCCTCTATATATGTGGTGCATGTCTTGCATAGCGGCTGGGCGCCTTGAGACAATGTCTGCTCTGCCCGCTTCCTTTTGACGCTCGAGTCACTGAAACACGGCTTCAGTTCTGCAACAAAAACGTCCCACGTCGTCGGTGTGTCTTCGTAGTTTTCGTACCACACGAGCGCAGTATCCGTAAGGCAAAAGACCGCATTGGTGAGCTGAGCGGCAGCATCCCAGCCGTTGGACTTGCTGACTAGCTTGTGCTGGACGAGCCACACGTCGACATTTTCTCCCGATTTTCCTCCGAAGGTTGGTGGGACTCGGTAGCATGGCACAGAACCCATTGCAGTTGGCCTTGAAGCGTTGAAGATGGCTGATCTTGGGCCATTACGATCGGTGCAGGCGAGAGTCTGGCAAGGCGGCGGCTGCGGCGAAGTCCTGGTAGTGAAGCTCCCATCACTGGGTTTGTCTTACCCAGCACCTCCACCAATCTGTTACGCACAAAGAGGATGTACACGGCTGAAGGGTCCATTTATTTGGTCGCGAAGAAAAGCGCCGGAGTGGCCAACAGGTTGATGATCGCAGCGTCGTCGTCTTCCCTCTTGCTCCAGCTTGGGGCGGCCAGCACGTTCACCCATCTTCGTTTTCTTTCCAGGCATGCGCAACAATATAGCACACATCCTACACATGTGTTAACCAACACAGGAGAACTACACTGTAGCAGGACTGAAAGACGGGCAAGTTGGAACTTATTCATCATTGAGTAGCACACAAATCGATAAAACGCACAAAAAAAAGAACAGGACAAGCGCTGGTCTAACAACTGAAACTTGTTTGAAAGAATGCATATGGCGCATATGCTTTGGGAGTGCGAGTGCGGTGTTCGCCACCACTACTCGGACGAGAGTGAGTGTACCCCAAGATGACTGGCTGAGCGGTGGCGAGCCGCCCTTCTCGGCCCACGTGCAGTGGACCAAATATGGGCTGTCCAGCAAGCCAGGGCTGTCGTCAAGGACATTGCACGATGCTCCGCGGACTACTGCTCCTGGAGGCCTAGCCCGGGCCACTGATTCCTCGTTGGATCCTTAATGAAGTTTTATACCTACCCCATAGACTTTATTGGCTACCCAACGAAGAATGGAGAACTTGCACATCTGTAATTGTTGTCTTGAAAAGAGACGTCACTCTAGTCGTCTGCTTGTTGTGCTCATCGCTGCTTCGATTTTGGTTTCATGATGGAATTCGGTTGAATTTCATTATGCAAATATAATTACTTTTCTATATCTTGAAGCTGCAGTGGGTTTTTTGCGCCAAGAACTTCTATTCTCGCATTTCACTTAGCCATCTACTCCACTAATTAAGATATTAATTAACTTTCTTGATTACTGTTCCAAATTATGTCTTTAATCATTTTAAGATACCCGCCACTACAGAAAAAGCAACTGTGAAAGCAGCAAGCAAATATCTCATTTTCCTGATTTTTGAGAATTTTGTACACATTTATTGGAATACTTTGTATGTTGTGTCTTCTTTGTATTATGAACTCCTCTAATATAAATTCTCATTATAGTTGCAGGCACCTTAAAGGTTGAGTATTACTACTCAATTTCATGCATAAGCTTTAGAATGGCTCAAGCATTAGGCATCATCATGGTATATTTTTCTTTAGCAGGGGGATTCACAAGTGAACAATGACATGAAGCAAATATCCAATGCCTTGCGGTATTTTCAAGACTCTGTTGAGAAAAACACTTTGGGCCACCTACCTGGCTCCGCAAGCATTGTGCTGGAATATGTGTTGCATCTTATCTCACTTCTCAAGAAAGACCTCATAAATGACCAGAGGTAAGTCCTGCAGTGTTTAACCAGGTTTCTTTTTACATGCCAGTTAACTTTAACTTTTCTCTATCTTTGCTGACCTTGACATTGCAGGTTCAGTCTTCGAGAGGTGGTATGCAGCAAGGATGTGGGCAAAGTGCAAAAGAACCAGTGTACTTAGATATAGGTCTACATTAACCTTCCAGATGTTCGAAATTAGTCTGTAATCCAAAATTTAGTTTCAACTTCCTTCTACCAGTCTTGGAAATACAAGCGTTGCTAATGACTTCACATAATCAAGGGCTTCTGCAAATTTCGCAAATAACCTACACTTCACAAGGATGTGTTCTCTTTTTATTTTCATGTTATGTTTAAATATTTTATTTTGTATTCATAACCCATAGCATTGTTACTACATCCTCTCCCCCATATAATGCTGTCATTGGCTTTTAGGGTATATATTGCCACATTCCATTTCTCAAGTTTTGTTATCGCCCCAAAACACTACACAATTCTCAGCACAAAACGTGCGTGCAGTTTTCGAGAAACTTCCGGACTTCAGTAGATCATTTCGATAAGATCATGCCCACTGCGCGAACTGTACAGATTATTCTGGACCCTATGCCACCGCCAGCGATAACGCTACAACATTCGATGGCAAGAGTATAAATGCCGACGCACTTCGCCCCTTGTCAGTAGTTGATCGACGGCCGACGCTCCGTTCGCCGCTATCAGTCCGAGACTGCTACTGTAATCGGGCTTTCCGTTTACCGGGCACAATTTCGCCCAAATAAACAGTTAAATTCCAACGCAAAGTCTTCTGTCTTTGGCCACGTCACGACCCCGTGACATCTGGTGGAGGTGCTGCTTCGTTCGTGTACCGGATGGCCGAAGACAGGAGACTTTGCGTTGGAATTTAACTGTTTATGTGGGCGAACCTGTGCCCGGTAAACGGAAAGTCCGATTACAGGAGCAGTCTTGGACTGATAGCGGCGAACAGAGCGTCGGCCGTCGATCAACTACTGACAAGCGGCGAAGTGCGTCGGCATTTATACTCTTGCCATAGAATGTTTTAGGGTTATCGCTGGCGGTGGCATAGGCTCCAGAATAATCTGTACAGTTCGCAAAGTGGGCGTGATCTTATCGAAATGAACTACTAAAGTCCGAAAGCTTCTCGAAAACTGCACGCGCGTTTTGTGCTGAGAATTGTGTAGTGTTTTGGGGTGATAACAAAACTTGAGAAATGGAACGTGGCAATATTATAAATTAATAAATTGGTACACTGAACAATTTAATTTATCACAACACCCAATGCTGCATTTAACAGAACTTGGATCTAACTGGCTAGGATCTAATGTAATCTATTCTCAGAAGTTTTGTTTGAGAATGAGGGAAGAACCTGTGCAGGCAAAAAATGTGGTAGTGAAGATTCTGGATCTTACTGTCAGGGACAGTGTGATCTACACTCCGTGTGTGTGTGTGCATGTACATGGGATATATATACACACAATGGGTGTAACACTTTCTCGCTTGTTGCTACTCCAATGCATGTAGAGCAAAGTTTTGCTAAATGTTGTTCTAATTAGGGGAAATAAAATGAACAAGCCTGTTGCCTCACCACAATTCAAAATGAGTGAAGGGCCAGGCAGGTCAAATAGTTTTCTTGGAAAATTTTCTGTATATACATAGCTCATACTTGGCCCCTACTGGATTGGAGATGTTAAAAAGACTAAGTAATGAACATGGAGCAAAAAAATCCTAGTAGGAGTTCGCTTTTACTGATTTAATATATTCTTGACCTGCAAGGTTGTAGAAAAAGTTTTTTCTACCAATGATGGCTTTAGTAGCTGCCTAGTTAAATTAGAGCACCTTTTGGTTTTCTTTCTTGAAGGCAAGTGATTATTCATTGTCTAACCAAAGTGACTATAGGTTAAGTTTTTGGAAGAAAACCTTCTGACTGTGTGTTGCATTATTAGGGAGTTCCACTAACTCTTACTTTTGTCATTACTTTGCTGAACCTGTCAAAGTGTTCATTCTTCAGTGTGTTTTGACATTGGCTTGTTTTAGTTCGGTGCTCATCTCTACAACCAATCAAGTCTACCAGAGCCTATCAAGGTTCATTGAATGGGCAGACGATGTAATGCTGAACAGAGAGCGGGCAACCATGGAAGGTGTTAACCAAGTTGTCCAATCTCTTCAAGATTCTCTTAAGGTCAGTCTTGGTTTCTTTTTCACTATGACTTTCTTAAATTAGCATCAACATTGTATGCTCCATTGTTTTTTTATTCAGGAAATTTGTACTATGAGGAGTACAAAACTTAGCGATGTGATTAGCTGACCTTTGATGAGGCGTTCAAGCTTTATGTTAAAAATAATGCCCGATACACCAGAACAGTACACAATGTCCAAGGATATGAGTGGATTCCATTGGTGTAGCAAAAGTGTCTCGTTGACATTAATTATAATGAATTATTATTTGTGTAAATAATTTTTATTTGAGTACAAACATGTCTTAAAATAGGAAAAACTGATGCGAGTTTGTGCTCGTCTATGGTCACTTCCAGCTGTCCTTGTTTATACTCCCTGTATCTAGAAAGAAGATTATTAAAATTGGCTTATATGTCAGTTATTTTCTGTACTGTCATGTTTCAATGCTATGTTGAACACTTTGTAAAACGGTATGTTCATACAACAGATCAATAGAGTGATTATAGTAAGAAGCAGTTACAGTTGGATCTGGCAATGTCTGCAATTAAATTGTAAAGAAGAAATGAAGCCACCAACTTCATCAGCAGAATGGCTGTATGTGATGGTATGACAAATGTCCTCCTTTGCAGTCGGACACACAGTCATGTTTATATTGGGCCTGTTGTTAAATCTTATAATCTTATTCACCATGATTATTTTTGTGTGTCTGCGCGCATGCCTTGACTATTTTTGAATAATCGAGTTTTTATGTTTCGCACACCTGATCTAAGATGTGGTCACTTTCCAGTAAATAAAATAGGCTTCCTAATTGATAAATACTATTTAAGCTAATCTGTTCTGCTGCACCCCAACGTGCTCATACGATATATAAAAGCAGGTCGCCAAATTTTTCTTTCACTGTGCATGGGTTCCAAACTGCACGTAGCATGAATGATAATTCTGAAGGAAATTATAGTATAGATAAACATGTAAATTATAGCTTATCTTGAGAAAATATAAGTGAAAGTGTTTGTTAAGCCTGTTATTAAAATCATTCACTACATCTGCTGAGCAGCCACCATGCTAATGGCTTTTACATGCAAGTCTGCATGTTTTGTATTGAAATCAGCAAGTCTATGTCAGAAAGAGTAAGGAAAATGGTTCATACCTATTGCCGGGGGATGAACAAGAGACAGGTGCTTTTACGTTCTTGACCACAAATGTAGATGTCATGCATGTGAAATTGGTAACATTATGCCAGAAGCCACAAGGAAATGGTTCATGCTTATAGAGCCAGGTGCTTTTACCACCTTTGGCAGAAATGTAGATTCCCCATTTGTCAAATCAGTGGGATTATATTGGAGGCCCTGAAGTGAGAGCTGAAGGAGAAGGGTGCCTGAAGGTAATGACAAAGAGTGCATCCTAAGGAAGGCATGAAATGAGTGCAAGAAAGTGGTAGAAGAGAGACGGTAAAGTGTTGCCAAAGAGGAGGTGTGTGCATTGTGTCTGCCTTTTAGGCCAGCCACAGCAGAAGTGCGCTGTGCTAACCTACTCTAGATGTTCCAGTGGGCTTTGTGTGCTCTGTAGATATGCTGGTTCTGGTCCGAAGATCACTGGATCAATCCCAGTTGCGGTGGTCGCATTTCAGTGGAGGTTAAATGGTAGAGGCCTGTATACTGTGCGATGTCAATGCATGTATAAGAACACCAGGTGGCCAAAATTTGCAGAGCCCTTAACTACAGTGCCTCTCAGTCATACTGTGGTGTTGGGATGTACTAAAACCCCAGATATTATTATTATTATTATTATTATTATTATTATTATTATTATTATTATTATTATTATTATTATTATTATTATTATTATTATTATTATATGTACTGGTTTCATGTGTAATTCAAGCGTCTGAGTGCGAAGCAAAAAATGGAGCAGCAATGCAAGCAATGGTAGGCCAGTAAAAAGCAGACCATCCCCAAAGCTGTTGCCAGGTATGAGCTGAACAGGAGCAGCAAAAGTCGTGGGTTTGATGGGCCCAGGAGACCTCCGAAAAGCTTACCTGGCCAAAGTACCACAACACTTGCGCATGATCAAAGCATTCCTAAAATTTTAAGTGCTATGGACAAAAAAAGGAAAAGAACCCATAGGTTCACATATAACTTGCATTAATAAAGTGAAACATTGCTGATTTTTTTTTCTTCTAGGCCTTAATTGAAGTCAGCCAAAAGCAGTCCCAAAATAAAGACAAAAGCAAGCACATGGGTACCACCACTCCCAATGGCATCTACAGTTCCAAAGGAGACAGGTATGTTTCATTTCATCAGTGGACAGCAACACGGTATAATAATGATCGGAAGAAAATTACTTAGTAGTACTACATGGAAGTCAATGGACTTTCAGTCATGGCGACAGTGTAAGAATAGGTTAGGTAATGACACTGAGCCCGGCGCTGTGTCCAGGTTGTGTTCGCCGCCTGGGCTGTTTTGGTTTCATGAGAGGGATGGCGCTCATGAAAGGTGGAACAATGCGCTCACTGAGGAGCGGCTCCAATCCACATGTAGAAGTTTATTACTGCGGAGCCTCCTCGCTTGTTTATTAGGCTCAATATACACATGTACATGGATGTCAATAAATTAATACACGATGACCCTTGATTTCCTAATTTTGTCTGCAGTTTATTTGCTAACGGTGTTTTTGTAATATAAATGCTCTGACAGCAGCAAACGTTGACCTGGAAAGTGGTCGCATTTTGAAATTCATGTGTCTACGGCATCCGCGTCAGTATCTTTGGTTCAGAACAAAAAATCAGTGTTGTCCGTGAGAGAAAATTTAAGGAGTTTGCAATAAGGATAGCAGACCAAGGGCAAAGGCATGCTAGCAATTAGGAAAGCGATAGTTCGTGTGCGTGTGTGCGTGCATGCGGATATCGCTGTCTTGTTCTGGATGCTCAGCAAAATGAACGAAAAACTTTATCAGAAAACTTTCAAAAAATGTATCACAAAACATACGTGGGTTCTATTAAGAACTTAAATCGACACGCTATCCTTGGTAGTCTTGCTGTTAGCGTCACGCAGATGACTCCAATTCGAGTGGAAGCAGCATGATATGGTGGGAAGAACTTCATTGGGTCACAAAGGTCGACTCTGGGTTAACCCATACCACACCCATGTCGGGACTGTCGGGCCAGGGCCATCAGCCATACTTGGCGTTATTTTATTAGGCCGCGCAGACTTCAACTTGATGAAGTGCTTATCAGATAGTGTAAGCGAGGACACTACCTAAAGAAGTATATTTTGTGCAGCTCGTCTCTTACGCTGCCAAAGCGAGACACTGACAGTCACATTTCGTGTTTGATGAGGCATTTAAGGCATTCGCCTTAATTAACATCGTGAGTACCGTGGTTGGAAGTGCGCTTGAAATGTAGCAAGACAATGATGATGAAGTGCTAGAGACATAAAAAAAGGAGAAAGTCGAGCTTGACGGCATCAAGCATGGCAAACTAATTACAATCAGGTGAATATAATGAATAAAAAAACATGGCTGCATCACAGAAATAGTATGTACAATGATTTCTGTTTGCTGGTTATTTTACAACATTTAAATTTTTTTGGTCCAAATAGGCATAGAGGAGACAACTCAAAAAACTTTCATCTGAATTTAAAACAAGGAATTACTTTTCTCGCGTGATAAGGAACTGAGTCGGTAGCGCATAGGTGCACACTATCAGTGTCGTGTTGAGAAGCATCCTTCTCTTTCCCGTGGAGGAGGCCCGTCGCTTCTGAAGTCAAAACACTGCTTTTTGCATACGTGCCTGTTGATTCATCACAGCCATGCTGTGGAGTCGCTCTCTTCACGTGCAATAAATTTGGCATAGTTTCAGCGGTCATTTCAGGCACTTCAGATGCAGTTGAACCTTTTGGCCCACGTTGCTTCCGAGAAGTCAGAAGCGACAGGGACCAAAAGCTTTTTTTTTTTTTTTTTTTTTTCGCTGCACGTTCAGGTATTTTGGGCAGCCCGGTAAAATGGTAGACACGGCACCCGAAGTGAACGTAGGTTTTTTTTGGTGCGCGCAACAAGACGTTTCTCTTGTATTCTGCATGATATGTGGCAGAGAACGCATCTTCCGGGAAATGCTTTGCACATGTATGGTCAGTAGGCTGCAAGTCTCCGTCAGCTCTCTGAATTGCCCGTCACCACTTATCCAAGCGTTCTAGTTCACATGGAGCCTTGAAAAGCGACATACGCTCCGTACAAATGCGATACCCCGACTTGCAATTCGGTAGAAAACACCATTGCTCATTTTGAGGCACGCAGCCAGCAACAAGGCCGCTGATGCATGCTCGGAGTCATGTGCAGCATTGAGGTGTACGTGCGCTGAATCACAAAGCACGAATCAGCTAAACAAATGCACTGGCAGGACTCATGGACACAGGGCAACGTGTTTCTAAATCATAAATCCCATGCACACAAAGCTTTCAGGGAGATGTTCTTTTGCACACGAATACCTGGCGCTTCATACTGTAGCGCCATCTCAAGTTGCATGACGAAAACTACTTGTAGCTCAAGATCATCGGCGAACACAATCTGCCTGCACCCTGTCTCTGAGTGGAGCGACGAGTGTCAGCACCTAACTTATTCTCACATCGTGGTCATGGCCATGCAATCATGATGTAGCAGCCATGAAAATGATAGAGTGAGATACACATCATCAGGTTTCCACTTGTCCCCAGGTGTGCACTATTTTTAATGCTAAGGCGACAATGACTTAGCAGCCTGCAGAATAGTGAGTATGTTCAATTCGAGGTTCACCATGCACCAAAATTCACCATGCATTCTTGTATAGAGTACACCTAAAAGAGCTCTTTCCATTGTTTGAAGATAGTGAGCTTGCTTTTGGATGAGTCATGCAAAATTTTGTAAATGTGATGACCCAAAAATACCTCCCATGAACCCTGCTTTCATCACCATTATCTTTATCTGCATTGCATATGGTGATTGTTTTGCTCAGCCATTATGTTGTTTATCTTTGCCAGAATGGCCTCCCATGAATATTTTGAGATCCTGGGTAGTGGCAGCCTTTGTGGCTTCATGCTATTTCTTTTTCTTCTTCATCAGCTTGTTCTCAAGGGTCAGTTCTGTTAGTTTGTGTGGCATTGTGCATGGCATTAGTCTGGTCGAGTTATGTGTAGTACACAGAGGTGTTCAGCTGTGTAAACATTATTTTTTACAATTACAACTAAGATGGTCGTACAGTGAATCTGGCTATGCACAATGAATCCCCTTGTGGCATTCCGACCTTGCGGCCCACAGTGTAGTAGCAGCAACCCAGCATTGCAGTGTTGCCTCGGCTTTGTGATTTTGTAGTTCGCTATCATCGGCTCTCTGATAGCGCTTGGTCTCCGCCTCACAACCTCACAGCTCAGCACCTTCGGCACAGCAACATCTCTGCATGCGAGTCTATGTGATTGGCTAGTGAGATCACATGGAGATAGGACAGCACGGGAGTTTATATAGATGTCTAGCAATATCATGTAATGCCATGACTCTGCCTCTAAATTTTTAATGCACATGCTTATACCTGATTGGTCAAAGCAAAGTCGTGCGACCATTCGGTTCAGCCAATGGCATTTTAATGGATGCCTCATGATGTCATGAATATACTGCTAGTCTTTAATTGTGTGCTCTTTTGATTGGTCACAACGAGATCAAAGGACCTACCGGATTAGCCTAAGACAGGTCTTTTGTAAGATATGGAGGACCCTTGCGACTAGAGCCAGCACTACTAAGAGAACATGTGAACTTGTGGGCTGTCAACTCAAAGAAAAACGTCGAAACCATGGACAATACAGATGAAGGCATGAGCAATGCGAAGACAAGAGAGAGAAAACTGAGAGCTGCATAGGAGGAAAAGGTGGCAGTGCAAGGGTGGTGATGAAGACTGGTAGTGGACTGCTGTTGACATTGCAGTTTTGCATGGGTCGTCGTATGTAATTAGACATGCATAATTTAGACTCGTACCAGTTAGGTTCTGAATCCATTGTCTCTGCAGGAGTCTTGCTGGTACTGTGCTAATGTGTTTTAATATCCGAGTCATCATAAAATTACGATGAATGCACAAAATTCCGCCGAAGTTCACAAGAGAGTCGAGGTGTTCCATTTGGAAAATTGCTTTCAGAGTAATCGCTTTTTCAAATTGCCATAATTTATAGATGCAGGACAGTGTGACTACTAAAATTTTTGTTGTGTTTGTTAACTGCCATTTTTGTGCCAACGTCCATGCCTATTTTCAAGGAACAACAGTGCTGCATCGCCAACATCATTCCTACATCGCCAACATCATTCCTACCTTGTGGAACAGCAAGAGCTAGAAGTGTTGGTCAAGGTTTATATGATACCTTGAATGCATGTCTGATATTCTCATTGGATGTGCGTCAGATATAAGTTCTTTTGAGACAGTACAGATTTTTTGGTAAAAACGCTTTAGCCGTCAGGCACCTGTGATTTTTTTCACGCTAACTCTACATGCAGGTGGATATAGCTGCTACAGTTGCATTGAAATTAGTAATGAATAAAAACTTGGCTTTTTAAAATTATTGGCTTGAGGTGTTCTATATAGGAAAGTTGCGGGCAGTCACAATTTTTGTGACACACCCATGTCTTAAAAATAAAAAGACATAATTCGTAATAATAATAGTCTAATTTGAAGGCCCTGATTCAGATGATATCTTATCTAAACTTAGTGTGCGAAGTTCCCGGGAATAGTAATCACCGAGTTCCTGTACCCCAGAGTTTCCCACGACAAAGAAGTGGGGGAATTTAAATTAGGGCGCATTGTTGCAACATTTAGTCAGGAAAAATGCCAAGTTGTCTGAAATACACAAGTGGACAACTTATCCTTTTTTGTTTGATGTGTTGGGAATGTATATTTCTTTACTAAGCTCTAGATAAGCATAAAGAACTCCTTCACTTGTCTGCAAGAAGTGCCGCTGTGGCTGTCTCCCAGTTTTATGCTGAGCAGTGAAAGAAAAAAAAAAAGGAGTAGAAATTGCGGTTCTTTTCTGCACGCACTGAAAAGGAACAGAAAACCAATAGGCATCACACGCGAAAAATAAGTGTTACACTTGTGTATTTCTGACAATTTGCCATTATTGAAGAGATTTGGCCGCAACGCACCTTCATTTAAATTTCATCACTTGTTTGTCATGAGTACCGTAAAAACCGGAATATAGGTCGACTTAAAAAAAATGCAATTGAAAGTTGTCCCTCGTCTTATGTACCGTTCATTGGTAGAAAAAAATATTGAAGTTTTGCACCAATTGGCAGCTGAAGTCGAAAGCCTCTCTTGTCATCGGGAGCATCAGCGGCGTCGCCGTTGGGTAAGGCTGGGCAAGGATAGACAAGGCCTACAGTGTTCTAGCAATGCCATTTTCCCTCGGTTATCTACTATCAGTCTGCTGTTTTCTTTTATCTATTTCGTTCAGAAATGAGTGCTAGTCGACGGCAGTTTACGATGTGCTTTAAGAAAAAGGTTATCAAGTATGCCAAAGCACACAGCAACCTGGCAGCACAAGAGGAATTCGGTGCATTGGAGAAAAGCATCCGATACTGGTGGATCTAAAAGCAGCGCATTGCATCCTGCAGCTACAAAAAAAAAAAACATTGTTTTGTAGATGGACTGCAGTGCACCCTAAACTGAAAACGCTACTTGGTGAATTCGTCCGGGGGTTGCGTACAAAGTTGTTACACATAAGGGGGGGTGCATCCATGTGAAAGCTCTCGAGATATCGCGCTACGCTGGGCTCACGAGGGCACAATTGAAGGGATCGCTACCGTGGGTGTGCTGATTTATGAAGAGGAAGGGCTTTGCGCTGAGGCTGTGTACTTCCGTCTTTCTGCAAATTAGTAACGCATTGGATGGAACGAAGGACGATGCACTCTGGGATGTTGCTAGTGAAAAACAGACGTCGTTGAACTCAACTTTGGACGAATCTGAGGACGAGTCTTTGTGGAGATTCAAAGTTTGGGGGGTCGACCCATAATCTGGTCCAACCTATCTTCCTCTTTCTACTGTAGTTCCGGTCTTAATGCATAGAGCAGCCACATTTCCTGCGGGCTGTGCATGGTCAGTTTTAACCCTTTCGCTACCATTGACAAGTTTAGACATCATAAAATTTGGTAGCAATATCATTGATTACTATTACTATACTCATCATGAACAATAATTGCTACTGAACGAAGCCTATGAGGATTATACTCATCATACTTGGGTTTATTGGCACTAGATAGCCACACTTGTCCATGTTGGGCCATTTGTGTCTTGGCTGTCATTTTACTGCCATTTTTCATTTTATTGCCATGCAGCAAAATCTCCTGAGAGTTATTTTTTGTTGCATGATTGGTAAAATAATAGAACCCTGGAAAAAAATGCTCCACAGATTAAACAAGACAAATTTTTTTGGTAATGTCGGCACATTTTTTTTTTCTTTTCTAAAGGTTGCAAGAGTGTTAACACCACCACCGAAATTCGATGATAAATATCTCAAATTGTGTTCAACGTGTAGATTTCTAAAAAAATGGGTATGGCATAAATGGTGACACCCTACGACTTTCCTTGACAAACAGCCACCCTCACAAGGGTAAATGTTGGCGCGGATTCATCGTAGAAAACAGTGCATTTTTTAACAGGACTGCGCTGTGTTTACGACTGTTTTTTACGACAAAACTACCCTCTAGCTCATAAAAAAAAATTAAGTTCCTGTTAATTAGTCACTTTAATCTCAGTTTAGCTGCGGCAAAGTATTGTGGCCTCAAGATAGAGTTTGATTGTGAAGACGTCAGGTGCCTGACTGTCATCAGATTTTTATTGAAAATCTGAATTGTCAAAAAAAATGTACTCTGTGTGTGCATGGGGGAAGGGGGACACAACCTCAGTGCTACAGGGCACTTGGAGATTTTGTACAAATACGGTCTAAATACGTACAGTTCTACTGTGAGGATGGCACATGAGTAAAAAGTGAGCTTGTTCGGTTGCTAAAACAAAATTTGCTGTCATGACTATTTCTTTCTTTAATGTTGGTATTAGACTGTGGCCACTATGCTAGTGCATGGAATATATTCTTTGTTTTTAGCTTGTAGACACTGTGGCAAGTATCTGTACATACAAGTGAGCTGCAGTAAATATTGCCCGTGTAAATTTACAAAATATTGGCACTGTGACTTTTATTCATTGCCTCTTACTATAGCCGGATAACAGTTATAAATAGGTAGATATGAGCGTGGTAAAAGCTGCTCTAATGCTGTGGTGCCTGAGGGAATTGTGGGAGGGTAAGTATTGAGGACTCGGCCAACAACATGTGTACCATATGCGGGTTGACAGCAACAGCCATCGAAACTCTCTGCCGGAGCTGCCCCTGACCCCTCGCGAGCGGCAGATCTTGGAGTCGACGCGAATTCCTGACAACGGAGCGGCCACGGTGGTTTCTACAGCGGTGCCCCCCAAGGGCCCCCTCTGCCACTCGGCCTCTTCTGACAGCATTCTGAGCTCTGCCCTGCGGCCAGACTTTCCACCTCCCAAGCCACCTCTCCCACACTTAATGCCACCCAGGTAGGCGGGCCCGCATGCCTGGCTTGCCGTCTTGCACTGCTGTTCTTTCGCTTGGGTCAAGCACCTAGGCTGCCTTTTTGCTCTTTTTTCTGCCTGGCTCATGTGTACTGATTATCAAAGCACTTTGAAATGTAGAGTCGTTCACGTAGTTTAAATGGAAAAAGAAAAAATATATTTAGTTTTTGAGAGTTAGAGTCACAATCTTTCTCTATGTCAGTGAACAAAAAGCTTTAGAGGCAGGGCATATGTGCAACAATACTCCAGAAAATAGTTCCACAATCTCGTTCGCACTTTTTAAAATGATTCTAAAGGACATAACACATAAACATCGTAAACACGAACACATAGACATCTGAATTGCTTTGCTTTAAAAAGCCCTACATAACTAACAAATTAAAACTTGACTAAAGTATACCACTGTGTATTCAGCTAGAAGGGGCAATTTTTATTGCCAGTGTAATTGGTGCAGTAAAAGATTCGTAGAAGCTCTGCCCTGTAGCTTTCTTTTGATAGCCCCAGAAAGTTGTCCAGGAGTATAAAAGTACCTACTGAAGTGCATAAATCACAGAGGTGCAGGGTTGTACACAAGTAGCCTTGAGCTCGTTAGTGCGTCTGAATATATGTCTGCACAGGTTCTTAATTGGTAGGGCAAAAAAATGATAGAGTTGGCTATTTTGGTGTTTCTTTGCTCTATTATATATTTAATGAAATATTTTTGTTTACTTGATCATTATTAATTAAACTTTGTTTTTACCTGTAAACTAATTGCTCTGTTTTATAGTTGGGCATTAGTGCAAATTATGAACATACAGCCCATGTATATGGTTAGATAGATTTGCTATTACCTATAATAAACCTCATTGTAATCGAATTACTGATTATTGTGTTCTGAAATATTTATGTAATATACAATGATATATGGAGGGAAGCAGGCTGCCCTGTTCTGCCAACTGTGAAAAATCATCTCTGCAACTAATTACTAATTTGTCTATCGTAACTTCTCGGTGACTGCAGTGATTTCTATTCTAATAGTTGTCAGATGGTTAAATAGTTAGTACATTTTCACTTAGGTCACTGCAGTCTGAGTTTTCTATGGCCCTATAAATGTAAATATTATGTATTTTATGTTTGATAAGCTATGTATACAGGTTGTATCAGTGGAGATTTCAAGCAGATTCAAAGGCCCTGCCATACTATATTGAGTGTCGTTTATTTTATTCTGTAGAGTTTATAGCATATTAATTTTCGGAGCCCTCCACTACGGCGTCTCTCATAATCATATGGTGGTCTTAGGACGTTAAACCCCAGATATCTATCTAGTTTATAGCATATTGAAGTTACCAATTCACAGGGTGTCCCAAATATCACGGACCGTGATTTAAAAAAAGAATGGCATTACTTGATGCAAGCATAAAACATGTTGTTCCTGGTACACTTGGGCACCTACTATTATTTTTTCATGAATAAAAAATAATTAAGTTGTAATAATGTTTGTAACTGAAAAACTGCTCACCTAATTATCAGAGTGTCAATGGGGCATATGTGCACTTTGGTAAACGACGTCTGACTGCACTACTTTCAACAATGTAATTGCATGCTAATTTTTTTCTGTTAATAAGGAAAGCCCATGAAATCTTAAAAGTGACACATGACTAAACTGCTGCGGGTATCTGGAAGCTGCACCCTCAAAGAGGTTCACTGTGAGATAGCCAGTGTCAATGAAAAAAAATGTAGAAAAAAAAAGCGTATCGCCCTACCTGACACTTCCCATGCAATGGAATGTTTCACTTTGATCTTACACAGCCGTGCTGTAAGCAAACACTGCTGTGACTTTGTTAACGAAAAAAACATTTGCTCGTGGCATGTGCATAATGATAGAGGCATACAATCTATCAAAAGGAATCTCTGCAAAATAGCAATGCACATGTCATTGGCACCTGACCTGTATTTTTGCTAAAGTGCAGAACAGAACGTTGTCTCTGGCAACGGACAAGAGGCAAAGTGGTTGCTTGCAGTAAGCTTATTTGAGGGTGCTGCTTTCTTTTGCAGGTGGGAGCACAGTCACGTGTTATTTTTCATACTTTGCGGCTTTTTTTATTAACAGGATTAGCAGGATGTCATCTCAGCATGTCCGCATATGCCTTATTGATGCTTTAATAATTAGGTGAGCACTTTTAGAGTTACAAAAATAATTATGACTAACTACTCAATTATTATTTTAGAAAAAGTAGTGGCTGCTAAAGCAACTGTGAACACTATGTACTAAGCTTGCTCCTCACAATGACATTTCTCTTTTTTTAAATTGTGCTGCGTGATATTTGGGACACACTGTATGTGCAAGGAACAGAACTTAAAAAATTCAAGGTAGCATCAAATAGGCACGTAGGTCACTACTTTCAGTAATGTAAGGCAGAATTTCATGATCGCAAATCAGGCTTTCATTAAAGTGTCTCCAAACTATCAATTCCTAGATGGACTCTTTTCCAAAGCTTGCATCTGTACCTTTTTGGCAGCCTCAGTTTGGTGCAGCCCCGCCACGGTGGTCTAGTGGTTATGGCGCTCAACTGCTAACCTGAAGGTTGCAGGATCGAATCTCTGCTCCAGCGCCTCCAATGAGGCCCGTGTGTGTAGATTTAGGTGTACCTTAAGAACCCCAGGTGGTCGAAATTTCCGGTGCCCTCCACTACAGCGTCTCTCATAATCATATTGTGGTTTTGGGATGTTATACTACCTGTATTAATCAATTCATTAGTTATTTTGAGGCAGACAGGAGGCACACCCAGTGAATATATAAACAGGTTAAGCACAAAAGGGGCAGCAGCTCCCAATTCCAGTTTAATATTGTGTACAGCAGAAAAGGTGAACAGCTGTGAAAATAAGGAGAGGGGTTTCATTGCCATAATTATGCAGCAATAGCTTAATAAAAAAGAACATTAAAAATGCAAGATAGAGCAAAGCAAGTTTTAGGATAAGTTGAACAAGGAAGCAGTACGCCATTTGTAAGTTGCAGCTTATCTGAAATCCTTATTTTTGGCCTTGCCCTTTATTCAGGTGAGAAACCTGTATAATTTAGATACATAACTTATTTGTGCATATTCAGTGGACATATAGCACTGATCCACAAGCTGTGTGCTTATTCAATCACTCTGAACAGTATGTTATGTTTAAATGCAGCACTAAAAATAATGCTATGGTGTACAGCTATGAGTAGCAAGGAATGCACATTTTTGGAGCAGATTAAAAGAATATTTATTGCATTTAAATTTCAGAGTTATAGGAATTGAGGCTCTGCCAAGGCCCGTATTATGCAAACAATGGGCAGGGTGAGGATTAGCTTTGTTTACATCATAACCAGTTATACAAAGAAAAGCTCTTTTAAGATAAGGTTGTTGAATTTACTGTAACTGTGAGGGGATGATTGCTAATGAATAATTACAAATGCATTTTGTATTTGTAGAGGTGTGCAAGCAATAATACAGCTATCCAGCAGTGCATTGAATAAACAACCTTTCTTGTACTTGAGTTGATAAATCTGCTATTGAGCACAAGGTTATTGAAATTCTGCCTAGCCACACTCCAGTTTGGGCATAATTCAAAAGGGATCATGTTGAGCTTTTTATCTATATTGGAGGATACAAAGGCTCATAATTAATCTGTCGCCCTCTCCTGTAGTGTTTCTAATAATCAATGTATTGCTTTAAAATTTTAAACACTATAGATGGATGATCTATCAATCAATCACTTTGGAGTACTAGTAGTTGTCCCACAAAGGTGTTTGATAGTGGAGCTCTTTTCTCTTGAAACAATATAAAGACAAGCATAATATTCAAAGAGACCATGCAGAAACTATCAGCATATTAAATTGTCATTGTAAGAGGGAGGATACAATGGCTCATAATTAATCTGTTGCCCTCTCCTGTAGTGTTTTTAATAATCAATGTATTGCTTTAAAATTTTAAATACTATAGATAAATGATCTATCAATTAATCACTTTAGAGTATTAGTAGTTGTCCCACAAAGGTGTTTGATAGTGGAGCTCTTTTCTCTTGAAACAAATATAAAGACAAGCATAATATTTAAAGAGACCATGCAGAAACTGTCAGCAGATTAAATTGTCATTGTAAGAGGCACTTCCATATTATTATTATTATTATTATTATTATTATTATTATTATTATTATTATTTGATGCAGCTGGGAGCTAGGCACTTCTAAGTACTTGTGTAGTTCACCGGGCAGTCTGGTGATGAATTTTTAGCCTGCTTGATTTCTCTATGTGCAATACATAGCCTGTGGTAATAAGTTAGTCAATTTATTAAAGGGTCTCTGCACTGCATTTCCAAGTAATCATTAATCACCTCATCCTAGGGGTTGATTCTCTTGCGAACCTCTTGCCGCAAAACTTTTTCGTTGTTAAACACTACAGTTAATAGTATCTACTTTCTCTTTTATATTAGAAAATAAGCTGAAGTTATGCAAGTGCGGCTTAGCTAAAACATAAAAGTAAAATTGGCTTATATTGGCAGAATTTTAATGAATTGTTTTATCATAAAGAACTACAGTGCAATATTTAAAAAGAATTCAACTTCTGCACCTCAGTGAGCATATCGCTATTCGGAGGCATCATAAAATCAATCTATTTGTAATATTGATAGCTGAGCTAGGTTTTGTATGGTTACTTTTTTTTAAAGTTCTATGATACAGCAAGCATGCTAATTCCAGGCATCAAAAATGCACTACAAGCCAAAGCATGTGATTTCTATTTTAGTGCATGGAGGCTTGCATCCAGCCTTTGTAATTTTCTGTTGCAGTCTTCTTGCAGTCATTTGAGCACCCTATTTGCATGCCTGGCAGAATGTGACTCTCTTTAATGTTAAAGCAACTTGTCATTCAATAACTTTTGGGGATATGCTTATTTGTGTGAAATGATGCAAGTAAATCTATTCAGCGACTTGAAGATAAGGTGCATTGGAGATATTCCACTGCATTTTTATATGCCC